CGGGCGGGGGCCGTGGGGGCAGGGCGCAGAGCTCCGGTCCTGACAAACTTCCTTGGCCGCCCGCTCCCGCCCCTGCCCCTTCACCTCCTGGGGCGCGGTCTACACGCTCCGGGGCGTCCTCGGCTGTGGCTCCGGGGCCTCGCGCGCCGGGGGACCGGGCGCCGGTGGCTGGAGCTGCTGCTGGCCCCGCAGGGACAGGGGAGCCCCGGGCGGCGGCGGCGCGGGCGGCGGCTGCTCCATCTTCCCGGGGCGCTCACGCCGCTGTTCCAACGCGCAGACCCAAGTGGGACATTCGCTACATTGTTGGCATTCCACGGGCGTCACGTGACCCCGCCTCCCGCGTCACTCTCGGCCGCATACCAGCCCGGGCGGGGCGCCTGCGGCCCTTGCCGCTCGGCGGCCGGCTCGCTCCGCCCGGCCGCCGCTTCCTGCCTCCAGGTCGCGGCCGCCCGCGCCCGTCGCCACCTGCCCGCGGCCTCCCCGCCGCCTCCTACGGACCTTTTTGCCAGTTTGTCACCCAGCCCCAACTCCAGTATTGCCCCCTCGACTGGACTTGTATTAAAAGTTGGTAACTCTGTCTTACAGCCACTTTTTTCTTAAGCATCTCACACCAGCCTTGGTGAAGAAAGTAAGTTAACAGGCTTGAAGGAGCCACCAAGTTACCAAATAGGTGCCGAAAAGGGCAGACAGCTAGCCGTGAGTCATGGAAAGACATCAAATATACACCCAAATTCAATCGGTTTTAATTTAATCAACCCCCAGTGCTGTGTATATTTTGTTTATGAGAAGTGTTTTATGGTATACAGAACAGTATAATAATGTATACCAACAAGAGAGATTTTGGTTTTTGCATTTCAACCGCTGACTGTCTTTCCATTTGGGGGCTATGGATTTGGTACAAGGACGTATGCAGGGACTGTGCAGAGATGTGAGTAGAAATAACAGACTGGAAGCCAAATCTTTAATCTACTTCTGGCTGTCCGTCTAACGTCATACTTCCTACCGCCTACAGTCTGTGGTAGATGATGAGGAGGACTAACCGATTTAAAAGCCAACCTAATTTCCTTTTTAATTAATAAACTCCTGTGAAATTTTTAAATTTTAATCTGGAAAGAAACAGTAAATAAGGTCATTATCTCCGGACTGTTTTAACAACCTTACCGGTCCCTGGTCTGCCATCTTCTCCTCCTTCCTTTCTAAATCCCACCCAGGTTTTTAGCCCTGACTCTGCCTTAGCTCTTCCAGGGAATCTTCTCAGATCTCCCTCCTGTTTTCTCTCTTCTTTGAGCTCTGGTAATTAAACCATTATTGTGCAGTTTGGAATTCAATTTACTTTTTCAGTCGTATCCTGTGCTCAACCCAGACATGTTGCGCAGTATAAATCTCCAGCAGATATTCTGTAACTGAGTCCCCCTTGCACTCAGCTGTGTACCTTTTCCCTTATACACTGCCCATACTTTCTGCACCCAAGCCCCAAGCCGCAGGGCTGGCTACCAGTCTTCCTTTGTGTGTGTTTAAAGATCTTGCCCTTGCTCTGTCTTCAAAGATCTGAACATAATTAAATAAAACATTTTTGTCAAATGAAATATTGTAAATAAGAGGAATTTAATGGACTTTAAAATTTATGTGTAAACACCTAATAAAATTTTGTAATTACAACAACCATTACAGCATTGTTTGCAATAGTGAAAAATCAGGAAGAACTTAAATGTCCAGCAATAGGGAATAATAGGAAAATAGAAGGTAGATATTCAAATGATGAAATATATAAAATAGCTAAGTGAATGAACTAACTAGCTCTGTACTTTTCAAAGAAAAAATGAGTGTAGACAGAATTCGAAACCATTGTAGAGTAGAAAAAAGAAAGTTGCATAACTATATATACACTATGATGCCATATTTATATATAAACAAAACCCCGTAGAACCTATACTAATCATATACTTTATATAAGTAGAGACATGGACTACAAAAGTACACACCAAATTCATGACAGCTGTTGCCTGTGTAGAAGGAAGGAGAGAAATTAGACTGAGGAGAGAAAGAGTTCAGCTTTATCTCCAATGCTTTGTTTTTTTATTTAAAGAAGTGAAGCAAAACTGTCAAAATCTTAAAATTTGTTGATTCTGGGTGATTAGGTTCAATAATGTGTGTAGTGTTATTCTTTGTGCCTTTTTTTAAAACATCTTTTTAAATTTTTCAAATATATATGTATGAAACAAATTGGAAACAAGTAAATTTCCAATTAGAGGCTTGCCTGGGGAAAATGTGACACACATGTAGGAGAATATTATGATTAATGACTGTGTTTATTGTTATTGGGATATGTGTTTATTGACATGGAGTCATTCATTCCTTTGAGTTATGTTTTATTTTTTGAGTACCTGTTATGAGCCGTGGGCTAAACCAGGCACTAGGGACAAAACCACAAGACTTATCCCCTGGTGGAGCTTACAGACTTGTAGATGTGTTCAAGAAGAAAAGCAAATGACAAAATAGAGTATAGCATCTAATTTTGTGAAACAATGTCAGTATATATATATTTATATATTTTAAAAATATATTAATAATATATTATAAATTATATAATACTATATAATATAAAATATTATATATTTTAAAGTCCAGAAAAGTATGCAGCCAAATGTTAAAAGTGGTGGTCTCTAGGGGCTGGCCCGGTGGTGTAGTGGTTAAGTTTGCACCACTTCAGGCAGCCTGGGGTTCACAGGGTCAGATCCCAGGTGTGGAGCTACATACCACTCTCATTAAGCCATGCTGTGGCGGCATCTCACATATGAAGTAGAGGAAGATGGGCACGGATGTTAGCCCAGGACCCATCTTCCTCAGCTAAAAGAAGAGGATTGGCAACAGATGTTAGTTCAGGGCTAATCTTCCTCACCAAAACAAAAAATAGTGGTAGTCTCTGGATATAGTCATTCTGGGTGATTTTTGTCTTATAATTCCTGATATTCCTAAATAGGATAGTTAACAACAAAAACTATGTTTAAATTAAATAATCAGCTAAATGAGTACATTCACATAATGTATCCAGCTGAGAAGGGGAGAAAAGAGAGAAATAACACAAGGCCAGCTGAGCACAAAGCCTGTAGCAGTGGCAATGTTGCAGTGTATAAATTAATTGATTAACATAGTATGTTTATATATGCGTATGTGTTTGTGTGTCCTTACAACCAAGTGTTGCCCTAAACTTGTGTATTATCTCATTTAATCCTCTAGACAACCATGTTATCAACCCCATTTTATAGAAAAGGACCCTATAACACAGAGAACCCAAGTAACTCACTCAAGATCAAAGAGCTGGGATTCGAACCTTGGTAGATCTGACTCCAGAGCTAGGCAACACTGAATTATAAGGCTCTCTTCAGGTAATCTCAAAGAGTCATGATTACAGTGTACTTATAAATAAGGAAACTGAAACAAAATTAACTCCCTTATAGTTTGAGGGAAGAGGAATGGTTTTTGTGGAGTGAGGAAGAGTGGAGCTCAAAGACATGTGTCTCCAGCACCAACCAGAGAAAAAAGAGGCTGTGGGCTGCAGGCACAGGGAGTCTACTCACCAATGAGGCCCCTGCAGTTGTGGGGCCCGGATGTTTTAGCAGTTCTCACTGAGGCCCCTAGGGAATATCACCCTAAGACTACCTACCACCCCCCACTTCCCCGCCAAGCTGTGAATGCAAGAACCCTGATTATGGCTCATACCTTAGTGCCTGGAAAGCAGGCTCTGGTCTCTAGACACAATTTTTGTCATTTTGGAAAGAAAAAGCCTCCTTTTTTATAATCTGTGGGGGAGACTTAGCAAATCTGCCTAACTACAGAAGAATGTTCTCTAAGGGGAGTAGTGAAAAAATAGACTAGAGGGGCCGGCCTGGTAGTGTAGTGGTTCAGCGTGCATGTTCCGCTGCTGGTGGCCCGGGTCCGATCCCGGGTGCGCACCGATGCCCCGCTTGTCAGGCCATGCTGTGGTGGCGTCCCATATAAAGTGGAGGAAGATGGGCACAGGTGTTAGCCCAGGGCCAGTCTTCCTCAGCAAAAAGAGGAGGATTGGCATAGATGTTAGCTCAGAGCTGATCTTCCTCACACACACAAAAAAGTAGAGTAGAGTCAGGTTATGAAAGGCCTAGAAAACCAGGAAGAAGATGTGCTGCACTGATTTTTTTGTTTTATACTCATATATTTTGTCTTTTTAATTAGATTATAAATTCCACAAGAATGGGGACTATATTCTCCCCCAAAACTATATATAAAGAGCTTTGTAGCGAGCTAGATGAAAGACTAGAAGAAATCACCCAAGCTGAACAGGTAAAAGAAAAAAGGATTAACAAGAGTGAGGACAGTCTAAGGGACCTCTGAGACAACATCAAGTGCACTAACATCCGTGTTATAGGTGTCCCAGAAGGAGAAGAGCGAGACAAAGGGGCAGAGAATCTATTTGAAGAAATAATAGATGAAAACTTCCCTAACCTAAGGAAGGACACAGACATCCAGGTACAGGAAGCACAGAGAGC